GGGCCGGTATTGATCGGTATCAGCTTTGAGGAGGGGATTACTAATGAAGCCATCTGAAAGCCTTTTGTGCTCAGTAAAGAGTTTGAACGGGGCGTGTGTGTCTGTGAGTGTGTGTGCATGTTTGTAAATGGATGTGTCCATGAGAGACAGATGGAGATAATCTGTGTTAGTAAATGTAGGTGTCACTCGACCATTCCTGTTGAGCATGCCTCCTAATGCTTTTATTATAGTGCTCTGCTGCCTCTGGTGGCAGTTCTTATTACACCAGCTATCAGTTTTCACCCCTGAATATATCTGTTTTCCTCTTTGGTTGTAATAAGATCATATTGTACTGAGGGATAAATCCCATGATATTTTTATAGCAATGATATAAACAGCTATGGAAGGTTTATTCGGCCTGCAGAGGGACCTAATGTGTGTGGAAATTGGTGTCTTCTAAGAAAATAGTTTTAGCTATATACTATTTTGTTTTGTTTTCAGTTATAGTGTTAACTAACATTAGTGAATAATTGGGATATTCCATTGACTTACTGTACTCCTGCTGTATTGTTAGCCTATTCCAAACTTTACATAAAGACCTTAAAGCCCCTGAAAACTTAGAACTCAAATGTTATAATTGAATATTAATGAATAAATGAGCAAGTTATGGTTTAAAAACATTGTTATTTATTATTAATTAACAGTGTAACACTCAAAAACTTAATCTGCTTAATCATGTAGCTGAGGTTTGATAAGATTTGATTAAACATGAAAACATGTTCAACAATAAAAACAACCCCACCACTGTTATCACATTTTGATTGAAATATTGGTACATTTTGATTGGTGCACATATACACGATATCACCTTTTTCTCACACCACTGAATCGGAACTCTGTTATGTGCAATAACTAAAATGGACAATTGTATGTCGTAGGATCACATTGCTCATAATAAGAGGCTGATTAAGAAATCAGATTTTCAGGGCCTTTGAAATTAACATTGCATTTTTATTAGAATCCACACAGAAGTCCTTTACAATTTTCCTGTGAGGACTTTTTGATCCTCCCAAAAGAGACAAATAAAAGTGTGCATGCTCACTCACGCGTCTCACAAAACGCCTTAACCTCTCTCTAGCTCAGGCGACCCTTGTGGCTCTGCTGGTATGAACTTAGTCGGAACACATTACCCTGCAGAGAAAAACCTTCAGGCCCGCACTTTCACACAGTCAGACATTATTCTCATACGGCTATGGCATGGTGACTGTGGCTCTGTGTTCACTCAATTATTAAGTACCTTAACTTCACATACAACTTGTTTTCCTCCCTGTTCCTAGTCAAGCTGGTCTAAAATCATACTTACTCTGCAGTCTTTGAAGCAGAACAGGTTTTTTTTTTTTTTTTTGCCCCTGTTTGATGTGCGTGCAGGCGCCTGTGGACAAATGATTCGCTTCATTCTATCTTACTTTGTTCCTTTTGTGTTCATTTCCGCCTTTGCAGAATAATATCTTACACCAATAACATTTTTGCATATTCATAATATTCTTATTTTCTAATGTTCTTCATGTTTGCCTCTTTTAGAGGATGTTGAAACAATGCAATTATCAGGTGTTGGTTTGGGTTAATAGTGTGCAAGATATTGTGTGATGTTTGAGGCGTAGCATTTGCTAAAACAGGTGGTATGATTAATTGGTCTCTTTATTCTTCACAAGAGAATAGCATTTGTATTACTTTGAAATTACCTACATATAGAAAGAAGCTGTATGTCTAAAGGAATGTGCTTTATTCTCTGATCGGCACACTGAAAACTTTCTTATAACACCAGACCTGGAATTCATAGGTCTGGTGCAGTAGATTACATGTTTATTTCATCAAAATTTACAAAGCGTACAGAAAAAACTTGGATATTTTGTGCTAATGATCCACCGAAGTTGCCTTAGCACCCACTTCTCTGAGATTGAAGGAAAATTGTCCCTTTAAATATCCCCCTTGTTTGCAGCTTCATGATTAACTTTGATGTTTGATAAATGAATGCTTTTGAGATCTGACTCACATTTTCTGAAAACTGACTCTATTGTGTGTGTATCTGTAGGACAAAAAAATTATAACTCAAAATGTTTTTTGTCTTGCAGCTGAAATCTGTATTTTTATATCAATCTTTTTTGCTAAAATGTGGTGGAAAACTAAAATTGAAGCTGCTCATTCTGCTCCCCAAATACGTTTATATGCTTTGTCCTGTCCTGGCCGTCTTTGTCACTTTATTAAATAGTATTTGCATTCACGTTCCCCGGCCAGTCAAGATTTTAACAACATAGCAACAGCAGTCAAATGAAGCAACTTCACAAGTGCGACACTAAATGTTATCTGTTATCTTTGCTGATGTAGAATGGGTGAAAAGTTACACATCGGTGCCTTTTAAGGTCATTCATCCAGGCCCAATATATTCAGAAGAACAGATGGCAATGCTGTTCCTGCAAATGATAATAGAGCTAGACAAGTAGAAACAAAACCTCACCTGATCTTCCGTGCTCCAGCTGTGGTTTGTGCCACTCAGAGCACTAATCCTTCAACTCACTTTCAGACACTGCTCATGGCCCACTACTACCAAGCAGGCAAACCAGATAATTAGAGCAAGATAGCTAAAAAAAAACTAAGAAAAATTCCATGCTCAGAGACAGAGTTCTTCAGAGACTACAAAGAAAAATCTACATTGTCTTGGTTTATGAAAGTGCTGAGACATGAACAGGTGAAAGCCTTCTCAAAAAACCTGTTTGAATCAAGGTCTAAAGTCACACCAGAACTTTTTGGGCTTTTTCCATGAAGTATTACACACATTATGGAAACTGAACTGTAGGGTTAGAAATTAATTAAGGAGAAATATTTTACTCTTTAATTAGCTGCAAATGGTAATAACAGTGACAGATAATAGTGGATGAATAACAGAAAGCCCCAGGTATAAATCTCCTGAGGTGAGTTTGCCCTTTTCACATTAGACACGATCCAACAGCTCCACTCTCAGGGTGCTTGTCAGCTCAGCTTGTTCAGACCAAATGTTGCGTGAAGAAATGTAACTGTTAATGGGAAGAAGTGACACACAAATTCATATTTCTGCCATTTGGGCCCATTGAAGCACAGTCAATGGTTTGTTATTTTCCATAAAGATGAATTGTTTTGCATGACTAAATTCCTCACAAAAACTTCTATGTACTATACACTCACCAACCATTTGAGTATTTCTGAAACTGCTGATCTCCTGAGATTTCCACGCACAAGTCTCTAGAGTTTTCTCAGAATGGTGCCAAACAAAAAATCATCCGGCTGCCTGGTTGGAGCTGACAGAATGTTCTACGGTAACTCAGATAACCACTCTTAAAAACTGTGGTGAGTCACTACATCTGAATCCAATAGAACACCTCTGGGATGTGGTAGAACGGGAGATTCTCAGCAAGAGTGTGCAGCAGACAAATTGCAGAAATTATGTGATTCAGTCATGTCAGCATGGTTCAGGATCTCTAAGGAATGTTTCCAACATCTTGGAAACATCATCCAAGAATTGAGACTGTTGAGAGAAAAGGGAGGCCCCGAGACCAAGTATTAATATGGTGTTCCTAATAAAGTGCTCAGTGGGTGTATGTACTGTACATGAGAGTTGCAGCCAATAATAATATATGAAGTCATTCAGAGGTTTATGTTCACCAGTTTGAATCTTATCAAAATTAATAATACTCTCAACAATTATTAAACTCTTAACACTCACACATACACACTGATAGAATATGATGTCCCTCACTCCAGATAATACTGAGTTTCCTGGTTTGACCACTTGAGGTCAGTGTTGGCCAAGTGTCCTTTCAGGCCGAATGGTTCAGTTCAATCAGTTCACTCTCAGTTCAACGTTTGGAACATCTGTTATAATCAGCCTATAATAAGTAACTGACACTGGATGATCTGTTCCCACCACTTCTTTTTGCATTTTGAATTCGTTAAACTGAGAGTGAACTGATTATGTCTCCTGGTGTGGAGACAGCATGAAAAGTACACAAAGAGAAAGTTACATATAGAAGTGGAGCAAATATTTCACCCATTTACAATCTTTAAAGCATTTGGACAGTCTTGAATATGAAAATATCCAGGGCTAGAAATGCCAGCTGTAGGGATAAATAGTAGTGGAAAAATGTATCTAAAATTGTATCTGATCTGAATTCTTTATTCAAAACTTTCCTTTTCTAAAGGTCATCTCTTTGAAGAGTTCTTCCTCATTCACTGTACTATATTTGTCATTATATAATTAGTGTTGAAGTAGCCATAAGTATACCAAACAAAGAGCCTTATGTGACTTGTAAGTGGTTACCTTTCCTTTGTCAGTTGAAGGATTTCTTAGCTCCTCAGTAACCACAAAGTAGGAGCATGCTCAATGGCCTTCGCATAATAGCCTTTGTGAAAGTGTGTGGTTTTGGCTGTGAAGCCTGTGTGGCCCTCAGACCGCCTCACTAGGTGGAAATGTCTGAGTTAAGACACAAAGCGAGGTCATGTGGACCACCTCACACCAGTTACACAGGCTCTCCAAGGCTTTCATACAGCTACATTACAAATAGCCAAACAGTTATTAAGAAAAATATAGACTAAAAATATAGACTATCACCAGCCTTATTTTTTAAAGTACAGATGAATTTGATCAGCTTTCATGACAATAGCATTGATATCACTTGGTGCAAACTAATTAACCAGTTTCCACAAGTATAAAAAAAACATAATAAATCAATTAATACATAATCTGTAAAAGTAAGAATGACGTCCAATCATTTTTAATGTGCTGTCCATGACCCAGTGAAGAAAAGTAAATTGCAACACTGTGCTTTTTCAGCAGAAAGCATGGCAGCTCAGGTCTTTGTGAAGCCCTCATTCATACTCACTGTAATCTATTTCTGTGTATTGAATAATTTAACTTGACTAACAGTATCACTCACTAGACCCTCATCACTGCTGCATTTAACTACATTTAATCTGTCTTCTCTGTCCAGATAACCAGGTCCTGCAGTTTGGGAAGCTGGTGAGCACCTCCAACACCTATGAGCATGTTGACCCCGGTAAACCCAAGAAGCCTGTAACTGTGATCACAGACCAGCCACTTCTCTGGAGCATGGGCATTCGTAAGAATAAGGGATAAAGCAGAAAAGATTCTTCTTCTCAGTTAATATTTCTCTAATCGCACATGGAATGAAACTTTTCCTGCAGCTGAGCTAAAGCAAAATCACTAGTTTTATATGATTTGTATAGCATGTAGTCAAAAATGAAGGAGCTTAACGCACTCTTACATGTGACCAAAAGTCTCACTTATTTTTTTTTTTTATTACTGTATTGTGTGATATCGTGATCAACTTGACTTGGTCAGCATGGAACACAGGAAAAATTCAAAACTGGCCAAAAGAACTGACTCCTAGTTTTAGTTTTTATATGATAGTGGCCATCCTTGTCAATGGTGTGTCTATTTATACTGTATTCTTATAACATGCCTTGTGTTTCTTCACTGTACAGGTATTGGTTCCAAATGAGCTCCTGCTTATGAAATATGCACTTTGTGACCAAAATCCAAGCCTTAACCATGCTAACATCTGGTTCCGTTCATTAAAAAAACATCAACTTTATAGTAAGGACTGAAATAACATTTCAGAGAATTAGTCAAGAGGCATCACCGTACCCATATTACATCTTCCTTTTTAAAACTATTCATGTATCGGCTCTGCATTACAGCCAACAGTATGTGCCTTTGACATCCTCCTGTTCCACTGTCACCTTGTTATTTGCAATATCTGTTAAGTGTTATGGAACATCCAATAAAAAGTATCTGCGCCTTTGGATGAGTTTATTGTTGTATACAAACAAATGATAGCAAGGATATCTGCATAGACAGGACAAATCAATCATTGGGTTTCCATTTGTTTTATTTACACAGCGAAATATAAATGTTGTGCACAGAATGTAAAAATGCGATCCCTTCAGACCCAGTCACACCAGCCCAATAGCACTTAATAGCATCGTCTCCCGTCCCAAGGTTTTGAAGTTTGAGTTTTTTTTCTTGATCAGGATTTAACCACCACTAGAAGAAAAACAAGGAAAGCAGTGTTAGTAACTGAAGAAACCTAAATGTATCCATATTTTACACTGTAATAATCAGTTGAGCAGCAAACTCATTAAGTCACAACTTAAGAATGCCACTCCTAATAACGCAATGAATGTGCCCATCAGTACCACTTGCAAAGATTCTACGCCATACCACAATTTATATTCAAGAACAGACAATCCAACATCTCCACTTTAGGATAGTGTATATATTTAGTGACTTTTATGATAAAGAACCAAATGAACTATGTAGCTAATAAGCAATGATAAAGTACATAAATTATAATAATTAGTCCCCATGTTAATTATATACTCGCTAAACTGTATTAGTAAAAACTCACTAGAATTTGGTCTTTATGAAATTGCTTTGGTTTTTGGTCATTTCTGCAGGTAACTGGTCAATAAGGGAATTGCTGACACCATCTAATGTTTCGGACAACTATAAAGGACAACTGATATTTACTGTAGTTTGATCTGTAAAGCATTACTGCTGGGGTTAATAATTTCAGGGCTCAATGACTGGGATGAAAAGGGGATCTTAATAATATGAGAGCTTCTTGCAGCCATGACAAAGACATGGTATTTAAAATACAAATACATTGACTAAACTTGTCATGCTGTACCACATATGAAACATTATACCTCTCAGTGAATTCCTGCATACCCAATTCAGCTAGTATTTACACATTGTTGCAGTGAGTGGATGGACAGTTAAGATCAGTTGATCAGGAAAGGGGAGTGGGTAGGGTCATTATCATGATCAACGATTAGATTCTCTCTCTCTCTCTCTCTCTCTGTCTGTCTGTCTGTCTGTCTGTCTGTCTCTCTCTCTGTGTACAGTCATCACGGATAACAGTGAGACAGTGGGTCTAGATAGCCCTTTGCTGGACAGAGCAAGGATACAAAAAAATACCAAAGCAAGACAAAACAGTTTCTCTTGGTACACCTCTTCACTGTTCCTCTTATATTTATCACTGACATTAATTCACTGTAAAATAGTTTGAATTAAAAAGTAAAAAATAAATAATAATATATACATATATAAATAATGATGTATGATACAAGTTACAATGTAAATTACTTACACAATGATATTGTTGATGGGGATGTGAATGAGCTTAACAAAGAAGCCGATGAAACCCATGATGGCAAACCCAATAGCTGTGGCCATTGCTATCTTCTGGAATTCTGAAGGGGGGGGGGGCAGGAATAATCAAGGTTAAAATACAATAAAATACAGATGATTTTATTAAAGTGAATTACTCATCATGCTCTTTAGATACCAAATGTACTAGGCGAGCAGCTCTGGCTTGAAAATGAGTATTTTAAACTGAAGATTTGAAACCGTTTCCGGCACAACAAAGACTGAGGCAAATAAAGTATAAACGGTACCTTTTCTGTCGGGTTTTGTGCATCTTTTTACGAGCCTGATGGAGTCTTTGACGAATTGCCGGCTGGGCTCAACAAACTGCATCACCTGATCCATGGTGTTTAGGCTGCAGTCAGATGTTCGAAAAGACAAAGTCAGTGTTAAAGCTTGGACTGCTTTCGGTGCTGACGTTGACTTCAGCAGCCGGAGCCTTTCGTGACTCCCACAACGTTATGAGCGTGAATAAACCGTACATCTTTGGCTTTCCCATTAAACGTTAACTAATTGTCAAAAATACGTCTTCATCATTGATAAAACCTTATCTTAAGTCAGTTATAATAATTAGTCAACTCTTCCTTGCTAGCTATCGCAAGAAAAGCTCGACGTAAGGTTAGATGGAAATCCAACAAATACAAGTCAAAGGTCTCACATCAGTTAATGTATTAGACTATTGTGAAAATACAAAAATATTTAAGGGAAGATGCCTTAGCTTACCTGTTTCCGAGGTCGTGTTTGATGAGAAGACAGTCAGAGCAGTGAAGGCCACGTAGCTTTCAGGCAGCTTGTTAGTGAAGAAGAGCTGACGTAGACTTTAAACGCGCATGCGTGTGAGTCGCTATTTCTTTTTTTATTTGAGCTTGAATTATTGTCCACACTGCCACCTACAGGCCAGGAGGTTTACATACAGCTACGGTCTGTTAGCTCGCATTACAGCAATAGACCATTTTCACAGCAGGACATTTTGACTTGTCATAGCAGGAAAACCTCAGATGTTACTAATAATATTAACTATGGCTCTGTTCTTCTCAAGTGTCCCAGTACACTATGACTTTGTGACAGTTAGTAACATGCACAATACCAGGACCTGGAAAACAAAGTAGGGAAATGAAATCCAGCCATCATTAATCTCATCATTTACACCTGTGCTTTTCCCACTGTAACACATCAAAATGTCCTCTGTGAAAAAGGCATGTAGTACCATGGGTTACCCAAATTTTCTTAATGATTTCCATTTTTATTCCAACTCTTTTTAATTTGGGAGCGTGTCTATGTTCCCACAGCCCTATGTTCCCACAGCCCTATATTCCCCTTTTATACCCTTTCAGAACGCTTTGCATCCACGTTCCACGGCGTCTTCACATTTATCCACCTCAGCGATCGTTTTTGTAAAGCATCGTTTTCAGTTACGGAATTCACCATTCTAATGTGGGCGGAAGGGATAACCGGATAAATATTACCCGGGTTAGTGTGGACATGGGCTTATGGGAACATATAAGACTGTGGGAAAATAGGGCCTAATTTTCAAAACATTCTTAGAAATGTGGGAACACAGGGCTGTGGCAACATAGGGCTGTGGGAACATAGGGCTGACCCCTTTAATTTGACTTCAAATGATAGAAAGCACTGAAGTCCTAAATCATTTTTAAGACTTAAAAGATTACTCACATTACCTGAATATATAATTCCACTCATTTTCTTTCCCCACACATTATTGTCTCTATCAAATGTAAACAGCTTTATTAATATATTTTTCTCTATTGTAAAAATATCCTGACTCACTCTCTTTTTTTATTAACAAACTGTAATTTCAATTCAGTGAAGGAAGAAGGGACGTTTTGCTGTAAGTCTATTATAATAAAGTGAGAACTTTTAAAACAGCATTTTAAAATAAGACTTCCTTTCTGGAAATGGGACAGCTGACTGATGGGATATTATTATTTGGTGAGTGTGATTATGCACCTTTCACAATACACACATTCCTTAGAGGGAGCATTAGGCCTATCCTGCAGCCACTCTCTTGCTCATGCCACATTCCTTTAGTCTTAAATACTCCCTCATGTGATTTAGATTAAGATACGGTTTCTTAATATAATTCTTGTATTTTCTCTTGATCTTTGTTCTCTTAATATACTTATTCTATAGTTTGACTAGCACTACTCTTAGATTAGTAGTCATTTCCAGCGAAATAAGTCCATGTGCTGCAGTCCAGAGTATTTTATACACTGTTTTAAATCCATTATTGAGGCAAAAATTAATTAGAAGAGTAAATAATACCAAACAGCACTATGCTATAAGCAGCAGGATTTCAACATTACTTTTTACATATGTCACTAGTGACAACGAAGTGACTGTGGAGTAAGTCACATCAAAATTCCGTCATCTGTTTGGGTGGCACTGGCTAAAACTTTAAGACCCTCAATTCCACGTTATTAATAGACAAAGCTTACCTAATCTCTCCAGTGTCACGTGTTACTGCATCTGAAAAGGTCAACCAATCAGTTTGGAAAATGTCAACATTACCTACATACAATCGGATCTATTATGCTGGAAGCAGGAACTTTTACATCAAAGTCCCAAGCAGACAAACAAACAGGCAGAACTTTGCAGTATTTTCCAGTCTAACAGATTTAATTTTTACATTAATGGTGCCACATTAACACATTCCCAATGTCAGACACTCTGCTGAAGCCTCAACATGTTGACACATCACAACCACATTATGATTACAACCATATGTAACTGTATTGTGGTTCATTTATTACCTATTAACAGAAAAGGCATCTGAAACTGCTTATTGTAAAATACAAGGCAATTCAATGAGACAGTTCAATGAAGAAAATAATTTGAGATAAAGTTTTAGAGAATAATAAAGGTACATTCTGATACATTAAGTGTTACAAAAGCAGAACAGGAATCACTTCATATTGCCATCTAAGTGCTTTAAATGTAAACCACAGATGTAGAGTATCTCATTCAAATGTTACTTTGAAAAATGACTTTTGAAGGCTGTTTAGTTTAGAGTCAAATTGTTCTCCTCAGTGCCAAAAACTTTCACTCTGCCACACTCGACATTGCGAACTGAGCGTTTTTAAGGGACACGTAGGAGAAACTTTCACAATGGGTCAAAAGCAAGATCATGCTGGCTAATGTATTTTTATAAGCTAACATATTTACTAGAACTACATCTACACTAGTTACAAAACCAACAAAACAAAGAATAACCACATAAGTTAGTAAAAGCACAGTAATAAGGGTTCAAACAGTTCAAAATTATTTCTTCAACATTTTTCAAATTCTATCAAAAGTACAGAAAATTATTTGACTGTCAGTGAATGTGAACAAACTGTTTTATACAGGGGTCATGCAATCTTTTTTAATAAATGCAATTTGAATGAACATAAGATTCTTTATGACATTTATAAAACAAAGGAGCTCTTGGTAGTGATTCTGTGGTTTTTGGACTGTATTGTACACTGAGACATAAAATAAGTCATAAAATATATCGTTTTTACAACAGTAACAGAAACATCAATGCCTCTATAAAAGTGCTAACAGTGCTGTTTGAAAGATGATATTTATACATAGCACACAATGCCCTTCACTGCACACCTAATTTCACACTATTTATTGCCAGGTGATGCCGAGCATATTGCAGCTGATTTCCCACAGTTTCTGGGCCAGGTCATCATCAGAAGCAGTCCTTGAGCACCTTGCAGGGGCACAGTCACTGAACACACACAGGGACAGAGAATTGCCATTACATACTGTGTTACACAATAATAAAAATTGTTAACCCTCAACTACATTCAAAGTAGTTTACCCTTTTGTTAGTCAGCAGGTAGAAATAGTGGGCAGCATGAAGCCGGCACTCTGAAAGCTCTTGTATAGCCAATTGAAAGTTGGCTGAAATACTGTGTGTACCTGAAGTACCCTCCACTCTGGCTCTCCAAGCCTGGCTCCACAGCACAGAAAATAGTGGTCTGTGCTCCCTCCACTGTTGTTTTGGTGAAAATCCTGAAAATCTTCACCGCCACCTGAATACACTGGTGCTGGTGCCTCCACAGGTCAGACTGCACCACCCCCGGGTGCAGAGAGAATACGCTCACCCCTGTGCCTGCAACATTTGTACAGACACCTACACAGTCACCTACACACATACTGTATGTCAACACATTCAAGCAAGTATGACCCGCTTATTTACTGTATATGTGCATATTCTGATGTTATGATTTTACATATATTTCTGTGAAAAAATGCCTCAGTAGATACAGTAACTCCATCAGTAACTGAGCATGTGCAATTGTATTTGTAAAATAAATAAAATAGCCATATTAGCCATGGTGTTTGCATTTTATTTTCATTTTGTTCTGTCCCTTTAATGCTCAATCTTCTGTTTTTCTGGACTGAGATACACTCCAGATCTAGGGAATCAACCGTCAGACTGCAGGGCTTTTTTTTTTAAAAAAGTAATTTCTTTCAGTTCTTGTCCATTAAGCAAGACAAAAAACAATGGATTGAGATGGAAATGGCTCATTTCTAATCAAAATCTGATTCATATGTAAGAGATTACTTCCTCAGAATAGAGAAGAAAAGACAATCAAATGAAGATGAACACTTATGCAAGCTATCCAGCGTGCAAGTAATGGTAGGTTTGGACTTTCTTACGTCAGTCTGTTCTTATGTAAAACTGAATACAATGCTTTTTTTTTTTCTTCACATTTCCCACCTGCTGTTAAAAAATTCTCCCACTGGAACTTAGCCATCAACCCTCCAAACCCAAACATCAAGACTTTCTTAAGTCTCTCAGCAAGACACTTTTACATGTAAACATGCACACGTTAACATACTTGTGCTAATATCATGTCTACAACATAGAGTTGTGGATTAAATTTAAAACCATATCTGCCACAAGTGACATGATAACTTGTAACTCACCTTGTAACCGTTTGGCTAGTGAGCGTGCAAACAGGACATTAGCCAGTTTGCTCTGTCCGTAGGCCTTCATCGTATCATAACTCCTCTCACTGTTGATGTCATCAAGTCGAAGCCCAGTCCAGGTGTGGGCCACTGATGCCACAACAACAATACGGGCTGGAGCCGAACGTTTGATGAGGTCCAGCAGCAGGTAAGTCAAGAGGACGTGACCTGAGGAAAGTCACAAGAGACACATATTCAGGCTTTCTCATGCCACCCAAACAAATGTCACACTCTGGTCAAGGTCTGAAAATCCAACCTGGAATATGTCTGGATTTTTAAATACAGAATATGGAATATGATTGGCTGATTCAGCTCCTCAAGAAAAACTATTATTGTACATTTACTGTAATGAGAAGTCATGCAAAGAGGAAAGGAGTGGCACACTTGTTTGTCAGATGACACACACATTGCCAAATCCATATTCTGTTGGTAATCTATCCACTCAAATTTGAGGGAAAACATGTGCTAGTGTGTTATACTCAAGCAGTAACCTCCAGGGTTGAAAAATGAACCCAACATAGAAGTACCAAAACCTGCAGTTCCTTGAATGGCCACTTGAGGCTGGCCCCTACCATGCCAAACTTTGCAGCGGAAATAAACATGTTTACAGCCTGGTTCAAAAAACTAGAGTTAATTTTCTCCTTGTCGACAACTGTATAGGGGTGAGTGTTTATATAATTCGCCCATTAAATTTTGATTAAGGGTTAAAATTATGCATATTTGAGTGACAGGCAGGTGTTGTCACAGTTGGCTGGCTGCTCGGTGTCTAGCCGCTAGCTGTCTGGTCAGCATCACCTCAGCTAATTCGAGTCATTGAACATGACTCTCAGCTGTGTTTGTGGTGTTTGGGCCCTTTGGAGGATTCTTCATGCAAATATCAGACGAGTTGGTTTTTTGAGGTGTGTGAAATTCTAGCATTATTTATATGTTAGTTCTAATTAGCAGGTGTCAGTGTTTGCACTTACCATACCTGGCTTGTTAGCTTAGCTTGTTAACTACCTAATTTGAATCAACCTTGGAGTAGCCTTCGAGCAAGACGCCCAGACACCCAGCTGTGCTTACAACGCTAACGGGGAAGTATGCTTGCCTGAAGTCTCGGCTTCACACGCACCTCACCTATTTGCCCATTTTTGGATTAGCCAGGAGTTAGGTGGAGTCAGGCCTTGCCAAGATGGCGACAGCAGAGCAGCCCACTCTGAAATTCAAAACAGCTCTTGGGGAACCCATGGGTGACGTCGTAGAGGCTATGCCCATCTTTACATACAGTCTATGGACATATTGCCAGCCAACAACACAACAATTAGGGCACAAGCACTTTAAAGAAGGCTATGTGAAAGTTGAAACTTTTGTAAAGGTAAGACGACTATAACACAGAGAGATATGACCACTGACTATGCAAACCAGAGGCTATCTAATGTTGTGTTTCTTATGTAGGAAAATAGTACTATTATTGCATTGTAGGGTTTTTGTTGTGCGTTGTGGTTTTGTGGTGCTGAAAGGAGAGCTCCTATAGAATGCACTGTACATACATCTTTTAAATTGCTGCAATATTCGTTATCACAAACACTGAGGCGGCTTTTATTTTCACAGTTCTTTCACTGAAATAAATGAAGGGTCAATATTGTCTAATTTCTCCTTTGTCTCTTTCTCTTTCTGATTCTTCCCCTGTGGTAGTCTGCCTCTCTTTCAGTAATTTGCCAAGACAACCTGATGCACTCTTTATGCTGCTTTAAGAGCATACATCATGATAGTAGTGCTGAATATTTACTTTGTGTTGTACTTGTGACTCCATGTGATGCTGGGGTTACTGTTCATAATCAACATAAAATAGTTCTTACTATGTTGTTGATAATACGGTCATAATCCCCACCACACACTCATACATGTGGATGGAGTGCCAACAGAGGACAGCCCACTGAAATTTCACTTCAGCTTATGAACCAAACTTGACATAAAGAACAAGACATTCTTACCTTGATTGATGCTCTGCATGGACAATGAGCAGAAGGGTTCAATCTCTTCACCTACTAGTTCTCACTAAGCATGCATTTGTTATTCATTCAGCTTCATCGTGAGCTGTATAAATGAAAATCGCCATGTATCATGAGCCAGGAAGTTTAATCAGTTATCGAACATTATTCCTCCTCGAACTGTAAATACAGTCTCACAAGTGTGGGACAATAACTATATTTCAACAAATGGAAACCCTGAAAAATATTTGCAAAGACTGATTTATGTTCAGGGTATACATTCACAGTGACATTGCCATAAAGTGTCACATGTGGAAGGAAACTTCAAGATCTGGTATGAGTTTGTTGCTTTCCTTACAATTGTTCTCTTTCTCCTGTTTTCCTGTTGACCCAACCAGAGGTTATCATTATCTAACACGCATGTGTACATATACAGGCTGTTTGTGAATGTACAGATATATATTTATGTTCAGTATGCGTGTGTTGTGTGTATCTGTGCGTGTGTGCGTGTGTGTGTGTGTGTGTGTGTGTGTGTGTGTGTGTGTGTGGATATGTGAGTGGGAGACCATGCTTGAGCACACCATGTTCTTGTCTCTGTCAGCCTGTGACAAAAATACCACAGAGGAAACGATCATTTGGAAGGAAGCCATGGTCCAATACAGGGAAAACTGACAGCTTGAAGAATACAGTAACCCTGGTTCATTTCCTGGCTGGTATGTTAATCAGCTTGGTTATACAAGAGTTGTACAACTTAATAAGAGCTGTCAAAAATACCTATATTACTGATCATGTTACATCAGTTAGCAATACTGAGCAGTACAAAATACTTTGAAATCCCTCTTTTGTTCACCCTAAATTTTATGCCTGCTTGACAGATTCCCAAAAATGTACATGGACATGACATGAAATTTCAAATCCTGGTAGAAACTGTAACTTCCAGTATGACTTACCCAAATGGTTGACCCCTAACTGCAGTTCAAAACCATCTGCAGTCTTGGAGTATGGACACATCATGACGCCTGCATTGTTTATCAGCATATTCACTTGTTTCTCCTCTGAAAAGAATATTAGTTAGTTGGTAACAAATTCCCACATATCAGTGCAAAAAAGGTAATGAGCAACCCACTCTGAGCCACAGCCATGCTGTTTAGGAAACTCATCACTGTTCACTCATCACTTAGGACCATGCTAGTTTTTTTTCTTGAAAAAAAATGTGTGCAATAAGTGAAGATATTAATGGTTACTTGCCTACCTTTGATGATGAGTTCAGCAAAAGCTCTGATGGACTTGGTGTCAGATAGATCCAGTTTCCTGATGACAACATTCTCATTTCCTGTGTCTTCCAAAATGACCGTCCGTGCTTCCTCTGCCCTCTCCAGGTCTCTGCATGCCATGATGATGCGTGCCCCTTAAAAACCAGTGTAATGGAGTTGGTAATGAAATGTGCATGACAACTGCTTTGACTTATTTAATTATAGTGAATGCTTTACATTTTGTTGCACTAGCCATAAAGAGGACCACTGTCACTCCTGGCTTTAAAATGTGTTCTTCCCATTAAATTAAACATTTCTCAGAAGTGGAAGCTCTGAATTTCTACTAGCAACCGAGAGTAGGCTGAGTAGTTGTTCATTTTCCTTTCCCTTTGATGCATGCTGGGTTCAGCCACCTCATGACCCTGATTTAGAGTGAACAAGTAAATAATGCTAAAATGGATTGGTGATGTAGATAATTTCACGGCCATTCTCTTCTTCTTCTTTTGATTGAGGCTCTAAATTTGTTCTATAAGTCAATTTTACTGCATGACAAATCACAGGACACAGAGAATAAGTAGCCATTTTACAGTCATTACATTATACTATAAATTTGACAGTGATTTATTAAAGTAAATATTCTATACACAGGAGATTCAAATCCTTCAAAGTTCTCCAACTCAAAACTACAATAGCGTTGCTCATTTGCAGGCATACAGAGTTACCTACATCAATTAAGGAGGAAGTACCTAAATCTCACAGTGCACTTTTGATTATCCTCTAATGTTTTCTAAACTCTCATTCAGCATCTCATTTAGCCAACTGCTCCGCTCACATGAACACAAGACCCTCTCAGCTGTGTCATTCTCATTCGCCTCTGACGCAAATTACGATGCATTCTCCTTAATGAGCCCAGAAAGGGGCTTTGAGGACACGTACACACACACACACACACACACACTCTCTCTCGCTCTCTCTTATCCACAGCCATAAACACACACACAAGCACGCATGCATTCTCCTACACCCACCAGGAGGCAAACACATACAAAATAGCTGTTGTGCCCAGCAATTATGGAAGCAGAGAGCCATTAATCAGTTGGAGTATGGTGTCTGTGTCCCATCACAGTGTCTTTGTTTCTCCCCTGCTGCTCCCATGTGGGAAAACCCAATTGTTCCCACATTTCCCTGGTAGCCAAGTTCACTCAATTAGATAAAATAGTACACAAACAATGAGAATAGAGGGCTATAGAGAGTCAAGTTAAAGATCACCCAGCAGATGATTACACACTGTTATGCATGCATAAATAATGTAAGAATGCAAATAAGGGCAAAATACAAATAATAACTCAAGTCAAGCTTGATCATTGTCTGCATATTCAGACTCAATAATATGTAATTATGGCAGCACTCCTCATTTCACCTTTCAAACATTAACTTTTGTCGTTTGACATGGATGAGTAATATGCACATTTCACTTTGTCAAGATGGTAAATGCACCTAAGAATGAATGTTATAACCAAACAAATAAATGATTAAATGGCTGGTAGGGTGCAGTGCCCCAAGCAACTACCTTCTCTTATGAATCACTGAAAAGCTAATCATTTTGTCATCATATTATTACATAATCCTGTTTACTGAAAGGTGATACTGTAATTTGACAGAGCATTCTCCTGAAACATGAAGCACTGTGTTACATTTCCGTTCCTCTAACCTGATTTGTGTTTTTCTTTCACTTTATTCTGCTCAATCCTTTCAATATATCTTATTAAAAATAAAACTTTCTGTTTTACACTTTAGTTTAAACACAAAGATATTAAAAAGTATGCATCCTTTAATTTACAAAATAAAATAAAATCTCTGAACATGTGCACAGTGATTGTTTTCAAAAGAGGAGGTTGATGCCTGCTGAGCTTTTCAAGTGCAGACGAATGAACAAACTGAATCACATATGCAGAACCGGTTTTCATATTACTCATTGTGTGTGTGTGTGTGTGTGTGTGTGTGTGTGTGTGTGTGTCTTTGTCAGTCTGCGTGCCTGTGAGTATGTGCACTGCTGGGTGCACCCTCCCATCTCTCTTTGTTGCCTGTCTGGCTCTGCAGTGGAGCAGACCCTCACAATGCTCCCTCTGTCCCCTTGATGCCTCATCTGTCTTCCATCGCTGCCATTTGTCTTTCTCACGGATTTGTAAAGTGTTAAGCAAAATGCTCTTTTTAGTTGACAGAGCTGCAAATTTCTTCCCTGTCTGCCTTTAGTTTTGGAATATGTTAATATACTGTGGGTATAAAAGCATTTGATACAGCCTGATATTCTTGAGAATGACATTGAATAAGCTAACAAGTAAGCAGGATTAAACCTGATTCTATGGTGGAGGTCTGAGGACAGAGGGCACAGTTAAAGATCACGCTTTGTAGCTTTAAACCACCCAAGCATTAGGGGCTCTTAAATCGATTGAAGAGTGTGGAATGTGTAAGTCACAGTTTCAAAGTTTGTTAAAAGACAAAAAGACAAAAAGACAGACAGACAGACAGACACACAAACACACAGCTGGACAGACAAACCAGTACAGTACCTCTTCTCGCCAGGTCCCTGGCCGTCTCTTTGCCTATACCAGTGTTGGCTCCGGTGATGATGACTGTTTTTCCATCAAGCCTCTCCTGAGATGACCAGCGGTTACAGCACACACTACTGAACATCAGACAAAACAATTAAAGCACAGAAAAACATGTGAGTCACAGAAAACATATAGCAAGTAGTATTTCCATTCATAATAAAGTATTTTGTAAAAGTTTCAATCCCTGCTGTCAGTAATCTGTTTCATTCAACAATGTGATCCTTTGTGGAATTTTCCACTAAAGTTTAGAAATGTGGAATTCTGCTGAGGAAAAAAAATCAAACATGCCAAATATGATCCATCAGTTGAATTGATAGAGTGATTACAGTGAATCTTTAATAAAAAAATACATTTTGTGACATTTCAGCCTCAGTATACCCTGTACATATATATATATATATATATATATATTGATTGTGTTTGATTAGGATATGAAAATTCCAGGCTACTTTCCTGCAAGAATGGAAGAAAATCTTCATTTCAAACTCACTGTAACAGATTCACATGAGCAAAAAGAACAGCCAGAGTGGTTAATTTATCTATTTCTAAATAACTTTACATGACAAATGATTTATAGACGAACAAAGTTGGTCTGAATCCACGCAAAATGCATTTTTTTTTTCGCACAGGTATAGGTATCTTCTGACAAATTTGGTGGCACGGTGGAGCGTAATCCCCTTTATATGTCTCACATTCCTGTTATAACTAAAGCCAGCCACCTAACCTCTGCCGTTTATACCGGTTGTTTTTCTCTCTCCTACCTGCAGTGCATTCTTCCTGGAGACCAAAAATAAAAATCCACCTCAGGATTTCAGCAAGAAGTGACCGAAATACCCCCTCCAGTCTTCTCAATCAAGGGATTTCGTGTTTGCTTTCTCTCCCCGCCCCGCCGCGTTTGTCATCACAATATCATTGCAGGACCAATCAGGAGCGAGCTGACGCATAATTGATTCACAAGTTACAGGCTGGGTAACAGAGGGGTCTCCTGCCGCCTCCTGCTGTCTGAGAGGATCAACTTATATGAACTCGACACAGGAGAGTTTTTTTCTTTCCCCACAGGGCGTCAGATATAATGTGCAAATATAAAAACAGAGCCCACAGACAAATGCTTTAACTTTTAGCTACTGGAAAAGAAGGGTCCATTACCAGCAGCAGTAGTAGGCTAATGGTTAATTAAGATGTAATATAATCACCTTGCTTCTAATGATAATATTGCAAAATTGCGGTTCTCCCCAGACAAATTTGACAACCGTGCCTATCCCAGTCATGAGAATTTCCAAAATTACCTGTGCACTGGAATCAATGAAAGAAAAGAAAAGCAGTTTGGAACATCAGTGATATTTTTTTTATTAGCAGTAGCTATGATCATTTTCTTCTCCAACCCTTCTTCATGGCAGCCTTCATGACCCTTGAGTTTTACCACTCAAACTCTTTTATAATGAGCAGGTTTAGCCCATTCTGGTTTCCTGCTTGTCTACTTACACACACTTTGCCTGTCACACACACACGTCACATTTTCAGCATTCAGTAAATCAAGCATCACCATATTTGTTGTATTGAGGTTATCGATGTGCTCATAAATATTGATTTATAGTGTGCGGGGAGATGTCTGGTAGTTTATCTCCAGCGGATGCCCAGCAGGTGGCAGCTCACAGCCCACAACTTCAAGGCAGTGCCTTCATCCCGACCTGCCCTGCAGCTCTGTGCACTGGCGCAGTCCCTGAAAGGAAAGGAAAAACTGAGTTATTAAGTCCTTTGCGCATTTATCATTTAATTCTCTTCAAGTTTTAAAACAGCCTGTTTCTCTTTATCTAATCCTCTTCTGTTGTGATTGGTATGGAATTAATGAGGTAAATGAATGATGAATGATGGTCTACATGGATTTACCTTGACAGTGAATGTCAAATGATGCTGCCTAATATCTGTTATTTCACAGGCGGTTTGTTAAGTAGCATGGTTCGGCTAATTTGAATGAATTGATCTATGTATTGTTGTGACTTCAATAGCATTTCAAACTGACTTGTAGTATCCTCCATTGAGCAGCTGGTGCTCAGGAGTGACGGTGCAGTAGAGAGTGGTGTAGGCTCCTTCTGCTGGCGTCCTCATCAGCGAACTGAATAAGTTGGCTAGATCCACGAGAGGGCGCTTTATGTGCCGGGTTATTTCAGTGTTCACCACTCCAGGGTCCACCGCGTAAGCTGTCACACCTAGGACTGGAGGGAAAGGGGTGGATGTGGGAACAGGGCTCATTTTAAAATGTGTTAATGTAGATGCCAGTTTCTCAAAACATACACGCTTTTTCTGTCGCACTACATTATTTTGGTCAGTCTGGAATAAAGAAAGTATACCAGTAGTCAAACACAAATTACACGATGTAGGCACGTACAGTGAAATATATCAGCTCAATACCAGAATCCATGATACAATAACTCTAATCATTTACAAAAATCGTACTTATCTCTATAGATTTCTTTAGATTAGTAATGAGACTGAAAGAGTGTGGCAGGTTAAGTGATAATTAATTCTTCAAAATGACTGTGTTTTCTACAAACATGTTTCTCCATGCTCTGTTTCTTGCCCAGAGCGATTGTGGTTGAAGCATGAGACTCTCACACTGGCAAGAGATGCAGATCCATTTTTTATGCACAGCGAAAGAGACAGAGAGGCACAGAAAGAGACATAAAGACAAACATACATAATCCTCTCTTTCTGTCACATACACATCCCCTACCCTCAGTCCTCTTGGCCAGCTCTCTGGTGAACAGGACGTTGGCCAGCTTGCTCTGTGCGTAGGCCCTGACAGGGTGATAGTTTTTCTCACCGCTCAGGTCATCAAACTGGATCTTGCCCAGAGCATGAGCTGCCGATGACAGGTTGATAACCCGGGATGGGGCTGAGTGCTTCAGCAAGTCCAGTAGCAGGAAGGTCAGGAAGAAATGACCTACAGGGAGAAAAGTGTTTGAAAAATAAAAACTGTGAAGAAATAGATTTATAAGCAACTTTAAAAGAAGTACAAAAAGGCTTTATTGACTCAACTGTGATGAGAACAGACACCAAAATGAACGGGTCGATCATTTGTTCAATTGATGCATGCTAAAGCTTCATTTCTAGAGTGAAAAGTAGTGAGGAACCACTGGTATGGGCATATAAAGATTTCAGTACATTTTTCAATAAGAGGCCCCCATAATTCCTTGTGACATCCCTGCCTTTAACTTAATACAAGGACAAGCAATATTTTCATCTCCTACCCAAGTGATTGACTCCAAACTGCATCTCATATCCATCCACTGTCGTAGCATAAGGGCAAATAGCCACACCTGCATTGTTGATCAGGTAGTGAAGAGCTTTTTCAGCTGGAAAACATAATATTTGTTACACACATCACAGTCCAATTACAGTAAACATTTTACACTGTATTCTGGAGTTTACGTGTGTGTGTGTGTGTGTGTGTGTGTGTGTGTGTGTGTGTGTGTGTATGTGCCACCCACTGTTGTAGATATTCTCAGCGAACAGGCAGATCGATTTGGTGTCGGCCAGATCCAGTTGCCTGGCGACTACCTTGGCTCCCTTCACCTCCCTCAAGATGTCACGAGCAGCTTGCTCTCCTCTTGCCATGCTTCTGCATGCCAAAATCACCCTCGCACCTACAGAGATTAATATCTCTCAGTGATGAGTGTGTTTGCATGTACATGCATGTTGAAATCTGATCAAGGTAAGGCGATGCTGCGCTTACTTTTAAACATTTATCTTTGTCTAAGTGTTTATCTCTCGGCCCATATGGCACTACTGTCTGCTCTCATATGTTTTTAGCTGTCTTTTATTAATACCATTACTGATCTCATTACACTAAACAGTTTAATACTTGAGCCACCTCTTTATATTTGTTATTCTTGTATGAACTTGTTAGGCTTAAAATGTTTTCCACACAGGTACTCTGAGTCACACACACACACAAAAAGGAATATTTCAGTAATACTAAGAGTTTAAGTCATCATGGTACTCATTATTCTGTCTTTGAATGTGCTGCTCTGTTTGCTTGCCTCTGCTGGCCAGGTCTTTAGCTGTCTCTTTTCCAATTCCAGTGTTAGCCCCAGTTACTATAGCCGTCTTTCCCTCCAGACACACGTCCGAAGACCAGTTTGGGACAAACAGAGACCTGAGGAACGAGATATGAAGGTATAAATGATTCAAGCAGTACTAAAGTGGATCTTGACACCAAACATGAGGGTGGACAGTCCATTTTTACTGTCACCAGAATGAAACAGAACTTTATAAAAGGAGTGAAGAGAATAAAAAACCTTGTTTATGTGACATGTCAGTTTAACCTTACAGTATTACAAGGAGCATGAGGTTTACTTGACATTTCAGTTTCTGTCTTAACTGACTTGAAAAAACAATATCCACCCATCTTATACTCAAGCTGAAATTGCGAATTGTGAATTCTATTTGGCTTACATCTGGTATCTAGTCCTGAAATAACATATATGACTGCAATGCATATTACTGCGTTATGCAATGCATTACTAAAAAAAAAAAACATTTTTTAAGAGAGAAAATTCTACTTTTATCTCATCTTTTTTCTGGTGATGATATCCTTTAAGAAGTTTCTCACCTGATTGCTTGCATTTCTGTAGTTGATGATATAAAATTCCAATATCCCTCCTGAACTTTCAAGACTCTGATGCTGTCTCAAGACTCAAGTCCAGAGAAATGAAACTGAGGACAAAAATGAGAGAGAGAGGGAGAGAGGGAGAGAAAGAATCACAGCTTTATTTGCCCATAAAATGGTTTAGAGTGCAGTGGGAAGTCATCATTAGATATAAACCCCCTTCTGTTGATAGTGTGTCATGTACTAATCAATTATGGCAAAATTTCAAAATGTTTCAGGGTAAGCAATCACATGACATGTGCTGCAGTGTTTCAATAAGTCTAAGTAACAGGGAACTTTTTGTATTTACAACAAAACCAAGTTTGACCATCGACTCAGCAGACTAAACACAGCAGATTGCTCTGATGGCATTTATATTTTCCTCAGTTTTCTTCCCAAAAATTACTTTTTCAAGTATCCATGGTGTCCGTCCGCGGTAAGGGAAATATTCTGAAGTTTTACTTGCGTTAAAGTAGCAATGCCATTATAGTAAAATACTTAATTACATGTAAAAGAATTACAAATTACAAATTGTTATGTATGAATATTAAAAACACTTTCACCTCAGTGCTAAGTAACTGATGAACCTGAAAGCATCTTTTTAAATTTGTATCTGTTGGTTCACGTGTTGCTTAGTCAAATTAACTAATCTACTTTTTGATGGTTTGATCTGAGGCAATTCATCATGTTCAAAGGAAGCGCATCACGTCTTCTAAGCAAAATCATGATCTGTGAGGAAACTAGAAACTGTGTTTGCTAAATGAAAAATCACCATTTGTGAAAAGTAACCAGTCTTGGCTACAGTGGTCCTGAAATTCAAAACCTGGAGCCACAGGTGAGGCGACTGTAATTTCAGCATTTCACCGCTATGGAGTTCCTGGTGCTTTCCACAGGAAGGTCTAACTTATCACCTACCTTTGTTTGAGGCTGTTATCCTAATTACTGAACTACATGGTCACTTTACTTGATCCCACAGAGGGCCAGAGTATGAGAGCTGAACCTGGACCATCATTCAAGAATGGTTTCCTATATCTGGTAAATTTAGGACCTGCTTATGAAAATATAAAAAAACAGAGCCTTGTCTTTTCTTTAATAGAGATGCGTCGTCTTTTTTTTTTTTTTTGTCCTAATATGCAGTTACCACTGGGGTGGGGTGGGGGGGTGGACTGTAGCAACATGCAGTGGTTTATGACTTCATACATATTTTCAGTCAAATGAGAGGCTGTTTTCACACACATGCAGAGCTGAAAAAAAAGCTGAAATCATTTAAACCTACAATCAGGTTCTGTGTTGCCTGGCCAGCCAGATCTCATGTAAACCATGTGAAAGCTAGTCATAACTTCCTGTTTTCACAAACAACCATAAAATAAGCTTAGACAAAATGCACACGCACACACTCACACACACACACACACACACACACACACACACACACACACACACACACACACACACATATATATATAAACATACTCTTGCTGACCCAAACCAGGTCTAAATGAGTGCTGCCAGCTCTTCTCATGTGGTCTTTCTGTGACGCTAGCTGGTCTGACTTCTAGATTAGTTTCTCCTCACAGCTGCTCACCATCCCCAGGCCTGATGAAAGGCTGCCTGTCTGTCTGTCTGTCAACACAGGGACAAAGACAAAGAGGCCTTGCCACATGTGTAATTAGCATTGCTTCACAAAGATTACAGATCATCTTGAGGAGATAAATGACTTTTTCATTGTAATTTAGTGATCCCAGAATAGGAAAGTTGACAGAGAGAAACCACAGAGGGCAGGATGGCAGCCATCCCTGAAAGGATTAGATGCAAAACATATTTAATTTCAATCAAAATATCCTTTCAGTCATTCATTTCAATAAGTTTGATTGATATGTACATAATCATTGTAAAGCTGCATACATATGACGAGCTATTAAATCGAACAGTCCCTTTCCTAGAATGTGTGCGTTTAACCAGCTGTTAATAGCTCCACTTGACTTCACACATCCACACCACAAATCAAATGAGAGGAAGCACAAAGGGAATATTCATTCTTATTTCACAAATACATCATGCTTTTTTTCTTTTGAAATATATACAAACATTGATCACACAGATGAATCTTCTGAAATATTACTTTGAAAAATTATTTAAAACAAAATATTATAAACAAGCTGACGTTTTACTTTTCTTCATTAAGGCTTGCACATTAAAACATAATGAAACAAATCAAACTGGTAATAAAATAGCTTATCAAATGCACAGCATTTTTTTCTTAGACACAAACCGCACCTGTGGTGCAATAAGAAGAGAATAAAAAAGTCTACATACAGGATAAACAAGCATTGTACCAAAACTGGATGTGTCTCTTTACTGTAAAATAGCTTTGTTAGACCCTGCAAACCAGAAAAAAGGCAAGTGAAATGCTTAAAATTCATCTTTTTTTTTTCTTTTCCAAAGTTTGATTCTACTCTGCCAGATCTTAATGTACCGAGTAGATTGAATTTTCCTCCATAAAAATATTTACTTCCATGGCATGATTTTGTGAGAGCAAAGACAATTATTTCCACATGGTGGATAATTTGTTATGTAAGAAAACTGTTGAAATCATCCAAATGTCAAATTTAGAATTGTTAAAACCTGGAAGTCTACAGAATTTAACCTGGGCTATTCAAATCATGAAAGGTGGGAATGGGAAATGTAGAAACTCCTTTGTATCAAGACCCAGGTGCAATTTCCATACAACCATAAAAACATGACGTTCTTCCAGTCTGAACTCTAGTTCCACATCCAATTCCCAACAAAATTCCCCATCACTGTCTGGAATGAAGGGAGTTTCCATTTGAAAAAGCCTTCAGCTTTCCATTGTAAACTGAAAAAAGGCACATTAAAGATGCCTGAGGCAACATTCAGTGACTAATGTATGAAATGGGATGAGTTTTTCTAGATTGCTCTCCAAAGAAATGAGATGGGCACAGACTGATAGCTTCACATTGCTAAAAGTTGCTTCCTCAGTCAACTGACTGATCAGCTTCATTTTAAATGAAAGACTTTTTTTTTCCTAACTCTTATATTAAAAGCTTGTCTGGTTGGACAAATGGTAATGTAATATAAGTCGATGTAACCAACAGGAGTGTCCAGAGATCATTTCCGCACTGTCCATCTGATAGTTATTGAGTTATCACTTTCCCAGTGGCCGCTCCTCCATCACTTCTTGGACTGGCAGTGTCTCGTCTTGCAATGTGATGTGGGAAACGGAATCCCCTTGTGACCTCAGGCTCCTCTGGAAAAATGGAGCTGTCTCGTTGGCCTCTTCCTGGACGGGGCTTCCAAAGGCATCATCCTGCCCTGCCCCATCACTGCCAACAGACGTCTGGCTGACATAGACAACAATGACGTCACCGCTGAAGTTCATCACCTGACCGCTGGAGATGAAGGTCGTGTTGTGGTTCCCCGACACCTGACCTGAACAGACAAATGTGGAAGGGAGAAAAAAGGGAGATTGTGAGGAGCTGAAAACACAGAAACACAAGACACATTAGCTGTGATAAAAGGGTGAGAAATGGAGCTATTTAGGGGTATTTGTCTGACACCTTCATTTTTTCTTAAAGTACCTACACTTTTTGCTTCAAAGTGAAAAAAACCTTGGTTTGCAGGTATATGTTCAACCTTTCCCTCGCTTATATAGAAAATGGCAAATACAGTGACAGTGTTTTCACCTTGTGTGTTTCATCAAGGTAAAATGTAGTCCCGGCAACACCTACTGAAGCAGGAACTACCAAGAGGTTGTTCTGAGTACTTTGACAGGTGTTTATATGTCAGTAGACAGATTTTTACAGTGATAGCATCACAACTGTGCAAGATACAGTCACAAAACTTTACAGGTGTGCAGCTGAGATCAAAATGACGGCTGAGTTCAAAGAAAGGTGGGAGTGGAGTACTGAGTGCTCATCTTGATAATGTAATAATGACAACTGAGTACTCATGTGTTGGAATGTCAACATGTTGACGGGTGTGTTCAGATCAAAAGATAGTCTCTAATCGGGAAATGTGTAGAAATATGAATATATATGGTATGGTTGTGTAAGACACTGCCTTCCGATTCCACTTTTACACACAGTTGGACAGAGCTTCCCCTATTCATGACATATGTGAAGAAGGGACTAAATCTTTTGCTAACCTCGGATGACAAATGGACAGTGGGTGTAATGACCATGCAGAATAACCACAGACAGGCCACAGCTACATAGAATGCCATATCATATCCTTTTTGCCATATTTGTTTCAGAGTGTCCAGCACTTTTTGTGTGAGAAACTCAAGACCACTGAAAACAAGCCATTTATCAAGGGTTTATGGTTTTACGGACATGGCTGAATAAAATAAAAAAAAAAAAAGGGCTGTTCAACTCTTTCTAACCTTTTCTCTGTCCAATGTTTTTCCAAAAAAGAACTGTAACTGTTGTGTCACCTTGTCTTTACAATGTGATTCCTGCCTCAAAATCATTTGTACAAACTTGTACTGTTGTACTGACGTCCATGTACTGTTCACATGTGGATTGGAGCCAACCAGGTGAATTACGAAATAAACTGTGCCTTTTTGTTTTGTAAGCCATCTTTCACCACATTAAGCCTCTGGTTCCTATTTTATCCAGCCGCCTGTCTGACTTTCCAGCCAACAGAACAAGCCGACCCTCCATGACTCACAGCTCAGTCTCAATTATTCACACATATGTGCACACACACACATATACACACATAATTGCAGTAATGTAAGCAAACAGGTTCTAGCAAACACTTTTGCACCTACACATACACATGTACTTAAAAGCACACAAAGCTCTACAAAGTTGCAAAGACAGACAAACACAATCACACACTCACAGAGAGTGTGTCTCTGTGTTCCCCATCTGAGAGCCTTTCCCGGAATACCAGTCTGAGAGGTCTAGCTTAAAACTATGTCATTCCACCACAACTTTGAAAACAAAGCTCTATGGAATTTGCTTGGGTCCTTCTGTTTATCCTTTCTTAATACCAAGCTGATTTTTCTGGATAACCAAGAATTCTAGCAATACAGTTTTTCAGACAGGGATCAAATTGAACCTTAGTATAACCCCTCTCCTGTTCAATCTCCGAGAGAACAGTTGTCTTCAAAATCTTGCCCATTTTCCCTGCTCATCTGCCAGTTTACTTTTGATCTACAGCATAAATTTGCACAGTTAAGGTGCCCTTGAACAAAGGCAGTTATCTTTTAAAAATTAAACTGGTGGAGCCACCAGGATGATGTTGTATAATGCGCAGCTTCTGGTTGTGTCCATGTTTTAGATGGGCAGGTGAAGCCTCTGACCCTTACTTAACCTTTAAATGGCATGAGCGGGAAGCCCATTTAATCAGCTGCCATTACTGCATGATGGGAAATGGTGATCATTTAAAGCCAGCAAACATGTAATTAAAGTACCCAGTCGTCAGTGAGGGTCCAAAAAAGTCTTCACAAGTTTGTGTGTGTGTGTGTATGTGTGTGTGTAAGTGTGTTTTTGTTGGGTGGGCAGGCTTATAAAAGTATTACTCAAGCTGCACACATCTTGCTTCAATTAAAGCTGCGGTCATTTTGCGCAACCCTATGGAACTCTGGGTAAACAGGAGCTTTGTAGATGGCATAGTTCACACTGATGCACACTCACACACACTTAACACTGTATGTTAGTGTGTGCGGTTCTGGTGGTTCACTTGCTCATCAGGCACGCACATATATTATTTCTGCTTCCTGTGTGGTCTCCCAAAATTCAGGGTTCGACTATCAATACTGGCTTTAATAAAACATATTTCTTGGAAACACACAAACTTCTCATTCTTCTGCTGAAACCAATCCCCTGTTATAAGTTGTGTTCAGCATGTTCACCTAATGATACCCCAGTTTGAGCTAACCACTGTCCCGATCAGACTGTTCTGATAATACTGCTTTTATAACAAGCCATAACCACTCGGTGGCTGAGGCACAATACATAAATATGTTTCCCGGATATTTTTTGCCTTGGCAGCATCTAAAGGACTCTGTGAGAACAATACAAGTTCAACCATGTGACGGTAAAACTTTCCATTAAAACCAACATATATTTTATTCTGTTATTCTTGGTGGCTGGTCCCACCTCCTCTGCGGAAAGGGAACACTGTTATGTAGTATATCAAATCATGTATGGGTATGACCCTGTGGCAATACAGTGGTGACTGCCCACACAAACAAAGAACACAGAATCCACCTGGCAAACACAACTGTGGACACACAGTCTTTGTAATGAGACATTATCCAAATAGTGCACAACCACTGTGCATACAGTTTTCATTGACATTGTTGAGTGGCTATAGCATCTTTCTTTTGCCCCAAGTCAAACAAAAAACTGCCTGACTTTCTGGGAATCTACACACAGCTACATGTATATAGAAGCCCATTTCTGCCATGGAAAAATATGTTAAAAGTTGAAATTTAAGTTATATATTATATTATGTAAGTTATGTTATAAAAACAAAAATTCTAATCGTAATACTACTTTTGATTTGGTAATTGTAAATAATGATCTCATAATTATGAGATCAGACTTGGATTTTTAATTTGAAATACTGAGTCATAATTTTGAGATAAGTTAAGATATTAAGTGAAATATTATATAATATTATATTAATAAACAAAATTTTGACTAAAAACTGCACCCTGTGTTTTTTTTTTTTTTTTTTTTTTTTTTTTTTTTTTTTTTTTTTTTTTTTTTTTTTTTTTTTATGAAAATCATAATGTTGACTTAGAAACTCTCATTTTGTCTTACCAATATGGAAGTTGAGTATTTTTATCTTTATTATCCCTAATGTTCATTTATATATTTCTTTGTCTGGCAGTAATGGGCTTCCATTTCTGCTGATTTAAATTCTGCAGTTTTGATTTTTACCTACCTGAGGTAAGAGTTGGTTCAGCCAGTTGACTGTGGAGGCTCTCAGGTGAGCACTCCAGTTCTGTCTCCCCAGAGGAGAGCTTGTTTCCACTACTGTCCTCCCAGGAAAGTCCCTGGCTTTGCTCCTGGCTAGAAGCCACAGGGGACTTGTCCAGGTAGAGATCTCCAACAGTTGAGGGAGTCATCAAGGGAATGACAGAGGTCATAACAGAGGTTGTACTATTCTCTGTTGAGGTGGGGTCCATGCTTGCCAGTCTGTATAATTCCTCCTGTTTTACTAGTGACCTGTCAGTCAGGTAAGGTTTGAACTCCGATGACACCACAGCCTGAGACAATGGCAGGCAGAGTTCAGGAAGTGGACTGGATGGAGGGACTACAGAGGAGGTGTGGAGGAGTGGAGGAGAATGAGACACAAGAGATGCAGCACCTGTTTCACTCTTGCACAAAACCATCTTTTCATGAGTTCCTTCAGTCTTTTCTCCACCACTGATTGCCCTTACGCTCTCACTCTTCTCTTCTCTCCCACTCTCATCTCCATCCCTCTCTCCATCTAGCCCTCCACACGAGCAGGTTCCAGGAGTCCCAGGGCTGACAGCCTGGCTACAGTCCTCATTCTCCCCTACTTCTAGAGGTTCATGAACGGGAATGACACACATACAAGAACCTGCCAAAAGTGGAGACACACTCACAACCTCCTCCTCTTCTGAGACCTCCTCTGGTTCTCCAGACCCCTCACTCTGATCCTCCGTCAGTGTCTTCCTGTTGGTTCCTTCTTTCTCTCTCACTTCCCCTGTGAATGGCAGTGAGACCTTGACATCAGGAACAGAAGTGGATGGGGTCGTGCATGGGGACTCATCTGTGGGGTTGTTTGGTGCTGGGCAGATGAGTTTGGTCGTCTCACATGGTGTACACTTGGGACCCCCACTATGGTAAAGAGGGGCCAGGGTCTCCTATAAGAAATGAAACAAATAAAGAAGCATTGTAAAAAAAATGATATGATTTCCCAAATCCTTTATACGCAGTAGTAAGACACTTAAGTTCTGCATTGATTGATTTAAACAAATATTAAATTAAATCAAACTTGGTTTCTATATGTTTCCATTACTTTTCAACTGAAATTCCACTCTACCTGCTGTATCCTCGTCCTCTTCAGATTCTGAACACAGGATCGCAGATTTACTAGAAACAACATATTGTACTTTAATACTGAATGAAGGAATCTTAATGATTTCTGGTGCAGATGTTTGGCAAAGCCCCTGTTGAACATGCTCAATGATAATTTGAGGACCAGTTTAAACTATAACATCAATAGTTCATATTGTGCAATGTTCATGCATACATGTCTGTTTTGAACTAATGTTTTCTTTGAAATAAACTCTCATAAACTCTCCTCTAAATAAATGTTTTATCATTGAATAGAACAATAATAAAACATCTATCTGAAGGAGAACTTCAAGATTCGTACAGGCCTGTAACTTACCAGAGAGTAACTTCAGTTTGTCTTTGTAGCAGAAGAGGAGCAGGATGAGGAGACACAGAACAGTGATGACTGACAGAACTGAAACAATGACCCAGGAGGGAGCTGCACATGCAAGAAAGATAAGTTCAGAGTTCACTTTTGTACTCTACATGTACAGTCAGTCAAGATGTCTGCTATACAATAAATCAGACATGAGATTTTATCTTTTTTTTCTCCATTTTTGTCCATTTTTACACTTTAAGTAGCAGGCCTAATCTCTTTTATTACTTTCATTTGAGCAGATGCTAAATATGCATTAAATTGTATTTGTATTTAGACAGTGTGCATTGAACGTGTCCTTGTCTTACCTGAAACAGGTGGTCCACACACTGCATCGGCCTGAGCACTGCCTGGATGTGTCTCCCTCCTGCCCTCAGCCTTACAACTGGGAGAGAAGATGAAAACACAAAAACACTGAGTAAGGAGGAATACCTACATGCTGACATTTCTTTTTCCGATACAGTGTGCCACCATGATGATGGAGAGAGAGAGGGAGTGGGAGAGAGAGATGAAATAAAAATATATTCTCCTTTTCCTTCTCTCACTCCATCATCAACATCATCTTCATCATCATCACAGATCCGGCCAGCAGTGGAAGCTGGTGTCTGGTCCAGGGTTCCAGAGGAAGCGGTGAGCAGATTAGTCATAGCAGCTGGCTGGTGTTGAGGAGATACCCAGATGCATTTTCCCTTAAAAACATTCCAGGCTAAAAATTGTGTGTGTGTGTGTCTGTGCGTGTCTGCGCTTGTGTGTGTGTGCATGCACTTACTTAGTCCATTGTTTGCATTGTTCGCCATCATTGTCAGCAGAGTAGAAACCTTTCTTACATGGAACACAGATCTTCCTTCCATTAGTAGATGCTGAAATGAACAACATATATCGTATAGTATATCTCTAGGTGCTGGATATGAATGAAGTGTGTTTTGTGTTCGTGTCTCACCAAGATCCACCTCGAGTCCATATCCAGCATTGCAGGTGGGTATCTTCTCACAGTACTCACAGTTGATGGGAAAGCATTGGAGGTGGGGACGGCAGCGACACAGCTCCTCTGACACAAGGTTTTCAGTCGTCTCCATAAAACCCTTAACTGGAAGTCAGAGGGGAACGTTTTAGCGCAAAGTTCCCCTTGACAGGGGTAATAATGTGTGTTGCATCTAAAACCTCACTCCACAGGCTGAATCTGTGTTGCTGCTTTTGTACAGTTTGGAACTGGTTTTGTTACAAAGAATCAGAGATAATTCTGATAATGACGCAAATTAATGCAATTTCATTTTCACATTTTGAGACACTTTCCCCGAGAACAACCTATACTTTTTATACTATTTTAAGGTCTCTTCATCATAATTATACACTGGAACATTTTCTCATCAAAAGACATCAAAAGACAACTCTAAAATCAATACAACAGCACCACAACAGATGCCTTGGCAGCTTAGTTTTGTTGAGACTCTCAAAGGTGGTTCAACCTGAGGCAATAGTTGTGTAGTGTTGTGACAGCCTACTGGATCTTTATATCAAAAGGTTGGGTTCCTGTACTCCAATGCAAGTAAACAGGGGTCAACTTTTATTATTAAATTTTATGCATTTGTATTCAAGATTTTAGTACTGACCTGGGTCACAGAACTTCTGCTGGAGACAGCGCTTCTCATCAGTCCAGCCCGGCTGGTATTCACTACGACTACATTTCAAACATATAGTCTGGTGGGAATCATTGCAGTCAGAGAACACACGGGAGCCTAATGGGGTGGGGGTGGGGGGGTGGGGGGGGGAGACAGATGAATTCAACGATGACCACTAAAAACTTAATGGAAGAGGAGAAGGAAATTGATCAAATTACAGCCTTTATCCCATTTTTAAGTAGAGGGTACTAGCGGATCAATGTAAATTGTGTGTGTGTGTGGGTGTGTGTGTGAGACAGAGCGAGAGAGAGAGAGAGAGAGAGAGAGTGTGTGTGTGTGTGTGTGACAGAGAGAGAGAGAGAGAGAGAGAGAGAGAGAGAGAGGGAGAGAGTGTATGTGTGGGTGTGTGTATGTGTGTGTGTGTGTGAGAGAGAGAGAGAGAGAGAGAGAGAGAGAGAGAGAGAGAGAGAGAGAGAGAGAGAGAGAGAGAGAAGAGCCATTTTTAGCCAAATGTTCTGTTTTTAAAGATCCTTCCTTTTTTTTAAACTTAGAATCTTTGTGAATGAAGATCTATTTTCATGTAATGCTGCTTCCATTGACTAAACCACATACGTACTATGCTGAAACTAGTTCCTTGTCTTTCACTTTGTTCCCTTTGTTCCCTCTGTGTGTGTGTATGGACTTGTTTTACTACATTTTAGGGGTCCAACAGCAAATTTAAATGTCTGTTTGAGGGGCAAGACTTGGTTTTAGGGTTCAGTTTTAAATTATATTCAGGTTAGGGTATGGGCATTCAGTTGTGATGGCTAAGGACACTTATTATGTCAATGATGGGTCAAATATAGTAAAACAAGGATGTGCGTGTGTTTGTGTGTGTGTGTGTGTGTGTGTGTGTGTGTGTGTGTGTGTGTGTGCATTATTACCTGGTTCACACTTCTTGCAGCATCTGGGGCCTTTTAAGTAATGTTTTTCATCACACTGCAGAGATTTGGAGACTGCATCCTAAAAAATAAGAAGACATAAAATTACTTTTCTGTTATTTTGTTGTTATTCTCTGTGTTCTAAAACAGTCATATACACTTTTACAACATATATTTAAAGAAAAGAACAATTAACAATTTCCATGAGAAGTATGATCTCATAAAGATTACCATATTATATAGTGATTTGATTGATCAAAAACATAAATTTTCCATCACTGCTTCACAGTTGTCCTCAATGGATGCCACGCTTTGCAACTAAAGGAGAGAGATGGCTCCTTCTTTGGTTCATCTTTCAAATCCACACGTGATATTTTGAGATGGCGGTGAGTAATGAGAGGAAGAGGATGGTTTTAACATTTCCAAGACATGGCCAGGAATTCTTTCCACACTCTCAGAAGCACCTGACCACAGCACTGTACGGCCTCCAAACCAGCAAACCAAACCCCAATAGTACCCAATTACATAAGGAGAACCAACTGGAATTAAATGCAATCAACTCCAGGTCGCTTGGAATTAATAAACACTTGGCTGCAGCTATACTCTCCTAGTCCTCACTAATGGGCTATTTAAATATGCAGTACTTGCTTTATTTTTCTTTATATTTTTTGTACTTACGATGTTTATTGTTATGCATGAAAACACCAAAGCAAATTCCTTGGCAATAAACCTGATTCTGATATAATTACCATAATTTTGACAGAGTGTCTAATTGGTCAACTTGCCCATTATGTAAATGATGAGAATAGATTTGCATATTTGCTATGATACTGAATCTCCTGCTGTCATTCAACAGAGCTATAGCGTTAGCGTGGATTACTGGAGCTCTTGTTGCATTGAAACATCTCAGAACTTTAGCAAAAAAGTCCACAAAGGTAAGCCAAGCAGGCTCACACACTCTCACAGTGCATACTGCACACACCCACCAGCCACCCTAAATTACGGGCTGGTGAAATCCTCGCCACAATGCTGAATTAGAGAATCTGGCTGTTATGACAGAAACTACGCCAAAACCACAGTGTCTATATAAATGTAGAAAAATACAACCTATAGGCCAGACTGCACTCTGACCTGAGGCCTACCTCCTTCTTTTTTTCACATTCAGCACTTCTGAAAGCTTCCTTTTTCCCATGAAATGATATACTGTTTCAGTCGTTCATACTGTAATCTGCACAGTAAAGAAACACTGGTACTGCAGAGGTCCAGTGAAGTGAAATGTGCAAATCCATCCTCCTGCTCTCCACACCAGCAACATTTGAAATTGGCTGCCTGTCATCATACTGAAATCAAATCTCTTTTCTTTCCCATGGTGCATCTGTGTGTCTGTAACTCACAACTGCTTTATAAAGATACACAGAGTGTTGTGCTTCTATTAGCTAGTCTTGATTGAGCACTCTTACTGAGAACAGTGGCAAAAACAGCTTTCATATCCTGCAATTAAATATTACATTGGACATCATGCATTATTATGCACTGCTGAAAATATCCTTTGGTAATTATTTCTTCATTTAGGAGCGTAATGTATCCTGGAGTTTCCACTAACACTAAAAGCAGAGAATCACTTAATTGTACAGAGCTGGCAACTTTCCTTTAGTTGACATTTTAAATTTCCTGTAGTTTATATTGATTCTAACAACAATAAAATTCTGGAGGAAGCCCTCAATTATTGTGGAACATTTAAAGATATACATTTATATCAGTTTAAATTAAAAAGAATTGGGTGCTAACTCTAACATTGTGTCTCCCTTGTTATTTCTTTCCCCCTCGTTCTCACACCTCCACATTAAAATCTGTTAACTCTGTGTCTGCCCGGCCTCAGGCAAAAAACAGCACAACATGAGCACTGGCAAGCGTTTAATTATCTCCACTCAGCCTCGCGCACATCAGCAAGTCTTTGTTTTATAATCTAACCAGAGGAATAATGATGCACAGCTCTCATAGCTCGGACCGCAGCACTAATGAGGACCATGTGCAGCAGCAGACAGAAGTGACAGAAGTAAGAAATGTTCCCATGCTAAGAGGTTCATGTGGATGGATGGACTGATGGATAGATAGATAGATAGATAGATAGATAGATAGATAGATAGATAGATAGATAGATAGATAGATAGATAGATAGATAGATGGAGACACACAGTGGTGGTTAATCCGCACAACTGAGCCAGAGTGCACAGGAAGCCAGAAGAATGCTGGGAACTGTGTTTTTGTTACCGCCACCATCTAAACATTGGGTCTCAGTTATGTGAGGCAGTATGTTTTGACACACTAAATATATATGTAAGAGGAAAAGAGCTGATCCACCCCATATGATTATAGGTTATTACATCGGTCAAGATAGAACATCCAACCTCAAAGCTAACTTTATCGGCCCTATATGTACACACATATACAGTTATGTGTGAATATGTGTGTCTAACTGAAGTAAAAAGGAGAGGGAGTGGAGGGGAAAATAGTCGAATGGATGGATAGAGTGGTCAGCTTTGAACTTTGAAGGGAGAAAAAAGACAAAAGGGGCATTAACTGCTCCTGCTGTTCAGGAACTGCCCTTTTTCATCATCATCTCTTCCTGGGTGTTTTGTTTATCTTTTAAAATCCATCACCAGTCGTGCGATCCTATCAAACAGGTGTACAACACAAAATGCATTCCATTTGCTGTCAGAGTATGAGAGAATTTGCATAACGGCCACAGCACCCACTGGCAACGGGCCTAAAGAAGCAAAGTGTGACTTCTAGGCCTCTAGGGGTTTCAGTGATCCATGATAAGGTGCTGTAAAAGCAGATTGCACAACAATTGAATCATTGTATAATGTTCCAACTTGAGGTTAATTCTTGAAAGGCTATAAAATAAATCATTTTGAAGTTCCACTGTGATTTTAACTTGTGTGAAAATCTTATACTTGTAAATACTTTCAAAACTTTTAAAACATATGAGCCTCTAAAAGACTGTTTGGATTATTACCCTAATAATAATAATAATCATAATAATGAACAGTTCGTATTTGGTGGCACCTCTTTTTTATAAACTAGCTGTGTTTCTCTTGCTACCCAGAAAACAAAAATGGGTATCAAGTGACTGGCAGTGGCTCTTTTAGAATAAAAAAAGGTCTCAAAAATGAGCAGGATGAGTTAAAGCCGCCATGGTTGAATAGAAAAATATATAATCACAATTTAAAGGAACTCAGCAGAAGGATTATGCTTAGCAGGGAAGAAGGGATACTGCAAAAAGCTGTAAACAAGTCCCTTGACAACTATAATCTGCACTAATTGTTTTAAGGGAACTTGACAGAGCTTAATCCGGGTGTGTTACACACTAAAGACCATTATAATTCCTCTCTCCACACAAAGCTCTATTGTCATTATATGGCTGCGTGCTTTACCAATCAGTTGAATGTCTGTTGTCTGAATAGTTAAATCAAGTTTGGATCTGCAGGCCTGAGGCAATGTAGTGTTATTGCTCAAGCCAAGGTAGACAAAACACTTACTATCAATGTGATAGTGCATGTGTAAAGGGATGGATGGATGGATGGATATAAGGGAGGTTAGAGAAAAAACACAGGAAGAAGAAAATAATGCTTAAGGTGAAGAAGGCTTTTTGTTGATTAGGAAAAGAGGTGGAGAGAGATTGTTGATGGTGGATGAAAGAGAGGTAGATGAATGGATGTATGCATGGAAGGGTAGTGAAGCTAGCTAATAAAAAGTACAGAAGCCATGTGGGTAGGCAAGGAAATTAATCCACCAAAACATAGCTATTCAAGATATACCGACTTTTAAGCTCGGGAACATCTTGAAGTAATTTTGTATGGCTCAATCATACAGACCGTTTGGAATGGATTGGATGAAGTGGTTGAAAACCAAGAAAATGAGGGGAATTCATTGGGGATAATGTGAGTAAGTAATGGTGACACCTAACCAAAGCCAAGGGTTTGAAGTATCACCTTAAAATGTAGCCTAGATGAAAAATATATTTCTTCTTTCCATACACTGACTTGTTTTCCAGGCATCATTTCTCTATTTGCTCAGTCTTGTTACAACTGCTTGAAGAACTGGGTTAACATTTCTTCTGTGCCATTACCTCTCAGCTTGGATAAGAAGCAAGAACCCCCCCCCCCCCCCCCCCAAGACACACACACACACACACACAAACACCCCCCACAGTCATCATCTCTTGCAACACATTTTGGGGAAGCAGAGAAGAAAAACAGGGAAGAAAGTGCGCCTGTTCCAGTCAAAGTCATAACGATGCTGGCTTACAGTAATACAGACAAACAGGCAGTGATAGATCACTGGTGCCCAGCAGTCCCACCACCACAACCACATCTTATAAACTGCTCCACCTGGACAGAATTAGCTGCTTGGACTAAACAACAACATGGACAACATCATGTAATTGGCCATTCACTTTTTTCCTGTAAAATTGACGGTATATGTGATTGTGACAGCGAAACATAAAAACAAACACATTCTTGTAGCTTGTTTCTTGTAACTTGTAGACAATAAAAAAAAACAAAAAAAACTAGTGGCTATTTTCCTGGGGTCCCTGTAGCACAGTTATTCGTCCCTGTGCCTCATTTTGAGAACCTCTCCTCTGGCGGAGCTTACGGGGTTCCCGATGAGCCACTTGGCCCGCGCCGGTCCCCTCTGGACCGGCAGAGAATGTTTGGTGGAGGGAGGGGAGCATCCAGCTGCCAGCGGCGTTTTTGCGGTGAGAACTGGGGAGGTGGACTCGACCCAAACACAACTGTTTCCAGTCAGTGTCCCGGCTTAAAAACTCAACCCTCCCCTCATCCCCAACCCCCTCTCACCAGTTCATACAAATCATCTGACGTGTTGATACATGGTTTACTGTTACACATCTCCTTGTCCATCTACTGAAGAAAAAATCATCATGACTCGCAGTATTTTGCATTGCCACTCATTCGAATAAGATTTGACAGCCTCTGAAAAGTAGTGTAAAGGAGACAGCACACCATAAAGTAACCATCAACTCTTTTCCATGCCATGTATACTCCCTCAAAGCCCTTTTTTAGTAGCAGACGTGTGTTTTTACCTGTGCGTAAAAGGTGACGAGTACACACGTTATCCAGCCTCGGAATATCCAACTTGTGGAGAAGGTCAGTCTCATCTCTGCTGGATAATGAAGACTCCCTCTGAGACAAACTTTTTCTTCCTCAGCCAAGAAGAGGACTCTGAGCACCAAGGTCCGATTCTTCTTCAGATTTCCTCACAGTTAATTACTTCTTGTGTAGCGGAGCCTCCAAAGCGTCTCACAGGGCATTCTTGCGCCTTCATTCCCGGTTGGGAAGTTGCAGTTCCCACCTTTCCTCTCCTCTCATCTCCCTCTCTGCCTTCACCCACGCGTTGTGGAGAAGGTTGCATGCAACAGCTTGTAAAAAAACTGAGCGAATGACTGAGGGAGGGTGGGAACTCCTCCCACGTTGTCATATGAAAGGAAAAAAAGTTCACCCCCCCTCTCCCCCCTGGCTCCATGGACTGATCTTTTTCTTTCTTTCTGAATGAGTGTGTATGTGGCACTTAGTTGTTTTCAGTCATGTAAGATTATCATGGTAACATGAACCTTTAAACACACTGGAATAAAAAAAAAAAAAGAAAAGTCACTGAATGTTTCTGTATGTGACAGTGCAGCCTGCAGAACTTATTTCTGAAAGAGTTGGTCATAACATTTCTCATGAGAATTGCCAAACGAATGCAGCTATGACCTCATGCCAGAGATGAATTCAGATATGACCCCCACACACCTAGAGGCAAAGCATGTGGTCACTTTCAAAGATTTAACTTCCTGCATGTTCCATTCATAATGAAAGCAAGTAGGCTGACTTCAGCATACTGTAGTTCCTGGAGCATGGGGTCCTGGAACTGTTATGATTATATCTACAGTCTACAAATGTCATTTATTTAGAAGAATAGTGGCACCAGGAAATACTGCATCTGTTCTCTGATGGAAGAGAGAGAGTGAGAAAAAAAAACCACTGGGTTTATTTCCCTCTGAATTTGCATAGCAGATTTGACCCAACCTACCTTGGCAAGTCAAGAGAGGGAAGGTTTGAGATAGTGGAGAACATGTTCTCTTCAAGGTGACAGTTATGCAAATATTAAATTGCATGTGTGGGACCCAAATGGACAAAACAGAGGGGTTGATCGGCACGAGAGAGAAGAGGAGAAAAAGATAAAAAAAAAAAAAAGAACAGCCAATTTTTTTTACAGATTTCAGAAGATTTCAGAAAAATAAATCCTCAGCTTTATCCTCTGTATCCATAACAATGTATGACTAAAAACCAGCTGATCGTCTCATAATCACCACAACTGGCAGAGGTGGATGCTTAAAGGAATATTTAACTCATAAGCAGTTTAATAGCGGAGAAAGTGGAAGAATAATGAAAGTTTTACACTAAGCCAATGAAGGTAATGGGTTCTGTCCTCCCTCTCGCCCTCTTCCTGTAAAAACATGCTGAGAGAAGCTGTTTTGTGGTGGGGCCTCTGAAGCTTGCACAGTAGCAATTAAGAGCCAGATGTGACTGTTTTAGCAATAAGAAACCTCAGCTTGACTCTGAACGCACCCCAAACATTCACACTGAGGTCCTCCCCTAACAAAAAAATTTAACAGGCAGCAAAGAGAAGTCCCTGTTAAGCCCCACTTCAAACACAGAAGTCAAAATGAAGCTTGTTTTGATGTATAAAAATGTAGATCCACTGCAGGCAGACACCATGCTGGTTTACAAGCATCATACTTCAAGCGACCTGTGCACAGACTCCACAGTTCTGTAAGTATGTGGCTTGTGTTGCTTAGCATCAGTTAGAACAAGCCAAAGTTCATGAAGTGGGCCTATTCCAGACAGCTCATATACACAAAATGCACACATGCAGGCATGTCATAAGCCGCTGAATGGTTCCCATTACTCACTCTATAGTAGAAAGCAGCCACAGCCTGTTTTGGTACCAAGATTTTAGAGGGAGCTTCACACATTTAAGGGCATAAAAAAACATGCAAATGGCACTCAGATTATTCCACAGAACACAGCGGAATAATAACATTAAAGCCCAGCCACCATGTTCCGGTGGTTTCAGGACTGGATCTGCATTGCTTCTGCTTGCTTTGGAAACAGATGTGATCTGTGAGTCACCCAAGTGACCAATGTGAGTAAGAGCTGCCGGCTGATGCCATTTCTACACACCAACAAAATGCTGGGAGAATCTTTATGAACACACATTCACATACAGCAAACACAGGTTCACACCTACATGTGCATGCAGGTACACATATTTGCATGCCCCCCTCCCACACCCATGCTGAAAAGTCAAGCAAGGGTCTCAGCAAGCAGAGGGTTGTTTTGACATGCAAAGAACAAAATCATTTACTCTGAATGCAAATTACACATATCAGGAATCTATTTCTGCACATACATATCTATAGACATAGACACACATGCACACCCACACAGGAATGAGACAACAAACACCGTATCATGGTTTCCAGTTCCACCCCTGACATATATCAACTATTTGTCCACCTGGTGAGTTATCAGTGATGATGGTTGAATATTACCCTGAATATGCAAATACTGTTCTTTATCAATTGGTCTTAGCTAACTCGCATAATGTTCAACCATGCAATGAGTGTGGCACCACAGGCCTGCCTGACCTGTTCCTACTATCAACACAAATCAATGTACTCCACTACAGGTCAATCAGGAGTGTCCAAAACCTGAAACTGCAAACACTTCATTTATACTTATTTTTACTGTCACTAAGAGATGGCTTGTGCTTTAATTATCCTGATAAATTGGCAGTTGCACACTTATTCCACTGAAATTGATTCTTCTTTTGAAGATTTAGGCCAAATTTAACTATGTCATAATTTTCTAAAGGATAGATAGCATGGATTCAGAGATAGTGTAATCTTGACGGCAGATCTGTGCTTTTATTTCTGTATTTATTTGGGGTAAGTTGTTGGGAATGTCCCATAAGATGGACTTTGGTTTGTTGTACTAAGAAGACAATAGACCACATCAAAGGGTTGGACGTGAGGGGCAGGGACGGCAGGGGTGAGAGTTTGTCTGCGGAACTGCTTTGTTTTACTGCCTTTAACACCTGTCAACACTTTGAGCCATATACCATAACTCGGAATGCTTTATCACATGCAATAAAAAGGTCTAAAAACATGCAGACATTCAATGACGCTCCCAGAATTACATTTAAATACACAACTGATCTCCATCTTTTATTACCATGACACCAATTTCAAATATACATAATGAGTACCACCCTCTTCAGTTCAGTGTATGATACAGTTATTTACTGTTTCTCTTAGAGCATACCCAAAAAGAACAACAACAACAAAAAAAAAAAAAAAAATTGAACCAAATACCCACTTTAGAAAAAAAGTATAATTATCAGAGACACTGCAACACAGAGACAAGATGCAATGGACAGAGAGGGAATAATTATGATCAGTGTTCTCTTAAACTTCACATTGCCAAAACGGAAAAACAAAAACAATGTCCATTAACAGTATTGACAATGTTCATTATGTATAAGACTGAGAATTAAAACAAATATATTCAGATGGGTGACAAATTAAAGGAAAAACCAACATAAAGTGTCTTAGTAAGGTGTTGGGCCACCATCAGCTGCCAGAACAGCTTCAATGCTCCTCGGCATTGACTGGACTTTGTTGGGGGGATGAAAACCTTGTTCCGAAAGATATTCTTTCATTTGGTGTTTTGATGATAGTGCTTGCCGTGTAACACGTCAGTCCAAACTTCCCAAAGGTGGTCGATTGGGTCGAGATCTGGTGACTGTGAAGCCCATGGCATACTCATCAAACCATTCAGTGACCCCTCGTGCCCTATGGATGGGGGCACTGTCATCCTGATTCTCTACTGATTTTTCAGGTTTTTTCTTTTAATTTGTCACCCGTCTGTATGTGTGTGTGTATATATATATAAAATAAAGAACAAAATAGTAATATGAAGTGCAAATTTCTTTGGAAGTTGGAATAAAGTATGTTTTTTCTTCATTAAGACATAAATAAGTTATAAAATAGAAGCTATCAAAACAAAAACCAGAGACAGACTTTGAAGAAATAAAGGCAAGACATTTTTTTTTTTTTACAGCTTCAAGTAGGCGTTACTTCTGAGCCGTACAGACACACTGTACAAGGCATTCTTAACAGACTGAGAGCCATTTTGTGGTTCAATCCTTCAGTGTAATTTCACTCACAAATGCAAGTCAACGCAACTGTCATACAACCTTTTGCTCCAAAATGCAGTTTAAAATACTAAATGAAATCCAGCAGGCAGTGCTTTTGTCTCTTACAGACGAGAGAAACTCTTCTGAAACAATTGCACAAAAGCACTGAACTGAAAATTTTATTTAATTCGGTGATACTTTCAAGTCCAGAAAGGTCAGAGAAACAAGTCCCTATTTATTATTTTGGGTGAATCTCAATACTGTTCCGATCTCTCTCCCCTTTCTCTGAAATGTCAATGTTAAGAACACTGATTCATCAAAGCAAATCTGTAGCCTGACAACGCCTTCATCGTGATTAAGAATTAAGGAGAGGAAAATGAGCAAAGGGAAAACCTCAGCTTTCACTGCAAAAAACATTGCTGTTCCCCTTTAAGTAGCAGGTTGTCCTACTGCACTGAAGATTTTAAAACAAAACACAACTTTCAACAAACCTTTCATTTCTTGAAACTGAATCAACAGTACACACTTGACTGTCTTTTACTTTAAGCTGAACCAATGCTTTTTCCAGTAAAATGAAATGCTCCCAAAGACAGCAGGGGTTCATCAAGTGTGGTTGGTCGATCAGTCAGCGCTGCAATCACTTCTTTCTCTGGAAGACATTGGCCAGCATGGCACCAGATGTGGTTAGCTGACCCATCTTGCTCAGGAACTTGGTCTTGGCATCCTCACCCACCAAACTGGAGGCGATTGACATGGACCTATAGTAAAAGAAAACAAAAAAAACAAAACAAAAAAAAACACAGCATTAAGATTGAATTTGATGATGAAGCAACAAGGTTTATCTCTGTTCTATCAAAATATATGTACTAAAAGACAAACAGAAGCACAATACAAAAGAAACACAATTATCCACTATCTGGTGATGAGCTTATGTCATCATTAATTCTACTTTGCTAAGAGGGGAAATGCTGTTTGCCAATACAGCCCCTGGACTTTTACAGTCTAACGGCTCTGCAAGTTCCTCTTTTGAACTATCTGGGATTCTGAAACAGCAGAGCAGTTACAACATTCTGCCGAGCCCCATTGTTCAACAGAAGGACAAACATCCTATCTTAACACCAACACCAAACTAAAGTCGATGTGTTTAGCCAATTTAGACACAC